GACGCAACGCACTGGAGCGGTCGAGGAAGCTGAGCATAAACAGCAGCGTCACAAAGAGCACGAGCCGGCGGTCGAACTTGCGGCGCACGGCGCGCTCCTCGTCGGGCGTGTAGAGCTGGAAGCTCGCGACGGAGCTCGCGCTGGCCCGCCTGGCGGCCCTTGCGCCCCTCGAGGCGCCAGCGGCAACGTCGTCGACGCGGTCCACCATCTCGTAGGACTCGGCGCCGCCCACTTCGGACCGCAGGTCCTCATGCTCGTCGTACTCGCCGTCGTCGTACTCCCCGTCGTCGTCATCGTCGTCGTCGTCAATGGCATCGCTGCTGTCGTCGAGGTTGAACTCGGCGCCCGTCTGCGCGAACGAGGGCGACGCCTCCCCCGCGGGGCTCACGGGGCGGAACGACATGGCGGCCGCACATCAAAAATTAGCGATCCGATGCCGGGCGGCGAGAGTCGGGCGCAGGAAGGGACAGAGAGAGACACAGAAAGATGCAGAGTGAGAATGAGGTGTGCTATGGAGCTTGTCGATGAGCACCAATGGCCCCCCCGCAAGTCACTGCGTCAAGCAGAGCAGCGCAGGTTCGAGGTCCCCCGATGGCCGGGGAGACGCGCCATGCGAACGGCGCTCGGCTGCGGGCGCGTTTGACTGTGCACTGTCGCGAGGAACGTGCGGCTGGCGAGGCGGCTGTGATGTTTGATGAGCAGAGTCGCCAAATTCAATGCGTTGCGCTGCCAGCTCAAAGGCAAGTAGCTCGTGGTCTTAGTTACAGCGCACCACACGTGACGCCTGCGCGTCATTCAGGGTCCAATCGGGCACGTCGCCGCCGTCGTGCCTGAACAATTTTGCAATTGGAATCGCGGGGCTGCAACTTATCAAGTTATCACCGAGAGCATCTACTCGATCGAGGACTGATGACCAAGTTTATGTTTTTCCAACTTGGTCGTGTCGCGTCGCGTCGCGTCGATTGCGACACGAAATTTCAACGGCCACCGGCAATGACACTCCGCCTCCTGGCCGCAGAAGATGAGATAGATCGCTGCCGTGAATCCAGCCGGTAGCAAAGCGACGCGTTGATGGCCGATGATGAGAACACAACGGACCTAGACTTGTATCGTCGTTCACGCATAATGTGCCTTTATTTGGTTTACCGAGGATCTGTATTTGTTCCATGAAACTGACTGACTGTGACCCCTACGGCTATCTTGTGCTGGGTGGGCAAGCTTCGAGGATTGCGACTGGCGGAACGGCAGGCCAGCGCAGAGACCCCAGGACTTCCTGGCACAGGTTGCCAGGCCCCTTACCCACCAACACCCGTGTCGAATCTATTGTTCGGCATCCACCTCCAACTCGGATTCTCCGGTCGGGCCGAGCAGGGCAAGACCAACCATGGCGATGATCTTGACGGGCACCGTCGCCATTCCTTCCGCCAACGTCCTGGTCCGGGACCTTTGCCCATCAACTCCATTCCCTCGGCGGCGGGCAAATCTACGTAAGATGAGACTTAGTACTTATATGAGCATATAAGGGGGGAAAGCAAGACTTACCAGGGGCGGCCGAGCATTTATGAGATCGGCAAACATGCCCGAAGGTGAAGCGACCGGTAGTGACGTCGTCAGGACCAAGAGCCACCAAGTACCCAACAGCCTTGAGCAGTGTAAAGCCAAAGGCCTCCCTCATGTCGGCGCTCAAGTTCGAAGCAGTGATATCCTCACCACCGCGAGATACGACGGTAATATTAACGGCCTGGGCCAAGAGAACGCAGGACTGCTGGACCGCCTTCATAGGGACATCCGCGAGAGCGTTGACGAGGACATCAACGTCAGCCTTCTCAGAGGCGGGAAAATCTACGCGGACAGGGAGTCAGCGCCTACGTGAGCACACGCATAGAATCAGGAGCACTGCTTACCAGGCGCCTTTGCGTATGTATGGGATCGGCAACCATACTGGCAGTTGGCACAGCCAGGCGAGATCGCGTCCAGGACAACACAGCGGCGGAAGACACCGTTTCCAACCCTGCAGCTGACGCATGCGTCCGGCATGGCAAGTTTGCGTCCGTAGACATACTTGACTACGGCATCGGCAGTCTGCGCGGAAGACACAGAAATTTCCCGAGTGATCTGGTTGCCCTCTTCGATCGTGACCGCGGGCGTGATCATTCTCTGCGGCTAAATGAACGTCAGCACGAACGGACGGGTATGGGAGGTAAACAGACACGCACCTTTGGCTGCTTGTCGTCGCCGAGCAAGAAGTCCTACTTCTCGCCGTCGCGAACTCGAAGCGCCTCGTCGAGGAGCCGCGCGGTATTCTCAGCCTCTGTGAGGTCGGTCGCGCCGCCCAGAGTCTGAGGATCAGGCAAAGAGACATTGCCGATCTTCTCTGGGAAGACGAAATCTCCATAGTACGCCATGGTGGAATGCGCGCCTGAAGCGGTGCGAGGATGCAGTGGACAAACGACGCAGTATGAAGGTGTAGTAGTGGGCGAAGTGAGAAACCTGGCACGGCGGCCTGGGGAGCAAAGTGCGGCGCGGGTGATGAAGGAGAGAGAGGTGGAGCGAACAGCCAGCCAGCGAGCCCTCTTTTTGGCTCCGACGTGAGACAGCTGGCAGGCAGCTGTGAGGCAGCTGCGCACCCAAGTCACTAGACCGCTAGGGCGTCTGTTCACGTGCGCGATGGCCAGTCACGACGCTTTCACCCCCAAGGGCCTCCCTACTGCCATGCTGCCTTTTCGCTGATGTTCGCTCCACCCTGCCGTGGCACATTTTATCGCTGTCGATCCGCATCGAGCATCTGGCAGCTCCTGGGCGATGATTCTGCCGAGCCGTGCCAGCTCGACCGCTATTGCCACGCGCACAGACACGGGCCACGACGTGGCAGAACGGCTACCTAGCCGCATTTTTCTCACCACGCTCCATTCGCATCAATCCATTTCTTTCCGTACCTGTAATCCTTCTCCTCTGTATGGCACCTAAATCTGCCGCTTGGTCTTCAGCCAGCCAGTGTAGCACGTTGGGTGACAAGAGGATTTGTGTCTCCGGCGTCTCACGGGGATGGTATTGCATGGGACTCGTTGTTCACAGCCAGGCGGTACTCTAGTTTGGCGTCAGCTTGTGACATCTAGCCGTGACTCCTAGCCCGGTGGTGGTGCTATTCAATGTTCTCTCCAGTCCCATGATCGCCATCAAAGCAAGCCGGCCGCCGCGCTATATGCCATATTTATAGTTATAGTAATCGCAATCGGCTAGCCGCGTAGTCAGCCCAAGCTAGGCAATTGTAGTCAAACTGGCCTAGCGACGAAGCCATAATTGCTGTCAAACCGGCCCCATGCTGAGCAGGTACGTCACGTCTCGGTCTGGTCGCGGCGTGCTTTGATCAGACACGCAAACGAGAAAGGGGGAGCAAGGTCGGAGGCCACGACCTGGACAGTGTATACCACCGACAAAACTGGACCTCAAGAACCGGAAGAGAACGATTCATACTTAACGGTAGCGTGCAGCTATGCAGACGGAAATTGGACTCATTCCAGTCACATATACTACGAAGACGACACATGGAAGATCCTCGACGACCATGAGAGACAGTTTGGAGCCGGGAACAAGAGCAATTAGCGGGGCATCCAGGTGTCTCGTCATCGCAACAGGCGACGCAGGGCCAGGGTCAGGTGGGCAAGGACAAGGGCGCTGGCGCCGGCGCCGGCGATGAAGGCACAGACGAGAGTTCAAGTGGCGGCGCTGGTGATGGAGTCAACCAGGATCTCCATGAGGATAATGCATCACAAGGCCGGCCGGCATTTAGAGATCAAACCCTGAATCTGAGTACACATCTCCCGAACCATCCATACATTTTCCCGCTGTAGAGGCGCCCATTAGAGATTCGGTGCTGTCCGCATCGCGTTATTGACTGACCCGGTCAGAATCATGGTCTTCGTGAGACAACTTCTAATTCACACGTATATCTCTATTCGCCCACGCCCGCCCATACTAACAGCGACTCCATACAGCTTCTCAGAAAAATTAGCAAGTGGAAGAACGGAATGCGCGCCTGATGGACTGGACATGTAAATGAGAGTACGAGTGCGACCAAATGTCCTGCTGTCTTGCGACGACGAGTCACTCCTTGCGGTCGCGTCATATTGGCCACGTCACTCTTTCTTTCACCGTCCAAGGGGATCGTCGAAGCTTGTTCATTGTTCTCCTGCCTAGAAGAGACTGCTCACTGAAAGAGGAGCCATAAAGATTTGACGCGCATGAAACCGCAGCAATTTTACTAGGTATGAGGTATCTGGCAATTGATCTCTGTGCTTTCTAAATGAAAGCATAGACGAATAGCGCTGGAAGTCATTGTCGAATGATATCACCAATCGCTTCTGATCTTCTCCTTCGTTGCTGCATGGCTCTCTTCTCATCTGATACTAATGTTGAGGGCGTGTCGGTCACCAGACTTGAAGCATTGCATGGATGGCGGACAGTGCATGCATCTCAAAAACGTCGGATATCTCACCAACGGCGGGCATCCCCCGAACGGCAGAGATCTCAGGAACCGAGGACATTCAAGGGAAGACAAGAACGTCGGGGACACGTCGGGCAGGTCAGCCACGTCAGGAATGTCAGGCATTTCAGGAACTGCGGGCGTGTAAGCCATATCACCAGCATCGGCCGTGCCAAAGGGTCTTGCGATGTGCGAAGACTGCAGGCACTATAGGTACCGGGACAATTTGACTTCACGATGGATCGCAATCAAAGATTATGTTTCATGACAATTCATGTCTTCCTGGAATGTATAGACGTCACTGGCGCAATTGTACTTCGAAGTTGTAGCGTCTTGTATGTTGTCCGATGATGACGCACGAGAGTCGTTTCTCAACCACACCACAAAGGTTTTCAGCGAACAGAGCACGTACCCTGCAAAAATAGAAGCTGAGCACTGTGCTGCTGTTCTCAGAACCCAAAAAAAAGTCACTCTGCCTGCTCACGTTCCGCGGCTGGCTGAAACGTGCAAAAAAACAGGGCTCCACCGGGACTCGAACCCGGGACCACTCACAAATTCTATTGAAAGAATGGGATGTTCTCCCGAAGCGAGTATCGTACCACTAGACCATGGAGCCTGCTAGTTCTGTGCTTCTGGAGTGCCATAATGTGTTATATAACTCAAGAGGGGGTCTGGGGGCCATCTGGTGGAGGGTGGCGGCATTGTTGGCGTACAAGCCGAAAGGAGATTGGCCACGTGTCTGATTATGTAATTACAACCCCACTTAGCATGCTCGATGGTTCGGAACGATGTGGAGTTGGCCTGTGTTGGTCCCCTGTCAGATATCTGTTTGTTAGTGTGACGGCCTCGTCACCACCGGGCACGCACTCGATGGCAAGAAGCTCACCTACGCAATTCAATGCTCTCCTTTTGATAACTCAGTGCGCAAGTCATGGTCAATACCTGACTCTCCTGTGGTTTTTGTATTTTTCCATGAAGTCAATGACGATTTGTGGCGACTCGCAGCAGTAGCACCAAGATTCCCTCACATGCAGTCGGCCGTGGACTGGCGACTGCACCTCGTCATCAGCACCCGTCGTTCCAGTCGATCATTATTCGTAGACAGATATCAATGAACTCTGTCTGCAGTCGACTCACTGAGACGATTTAATGGCAGCGTAACTGTCGCGAGCGAGCGGCAGCGCGCGTGCGAACGTTAAAAGCGCTGACCGCTGCCGCTAGATGCGACTCTAGGGTGGCTGCGATTACACAGCGAAGACACCACCGTCTTTGGAAAAATGCGAGCCTCATACCAACGAGACCAGCCAAAATATCTGTGGCATACATCCTCGTTGTCAACACTTCCTTTACGGGATACTGTGACATTTCGACGCGCGTGCACAAGACTATCAGTTGCATGTGGAAAATGTCTCAATTGCTACAAAGCCGCCGAATATGGGTTTCCCACACAATGTCCGTCGCCTGGAAGCGCACGTCTTTCTAACCGGGGCAGAAACCCAAAAGGGGGCCACCGCGATTTTCACGAGAGCACTGGTCGACGGTTGGCGGTTCTTCGTTGAAATTGAGTCATCCGGACGGGCGGGCGGGTATTCCCTAGTGAGTCACTATTTTTACACCACTTTTTCTGGCAAGACGCGGCACCCGGATTGTCGGAACCGCTCTTGCCAAAACAGTGAACTTCACAGAGCAACAGTTTCCACGACAGATCTCAGACCGACACCCCGATGGCCGTGTCAACGCCTTACCATCCCTTTGCGCTCGTCGCCGAAGGGTTGGTCTTCCTGCCCACGCCCTCCGTCGCGCATCTCCGACCCTATCGCACCCTCTTCCGCAAGCTCCACGCCGACGAGGAATTTTGTCGGATCGCTTTCGGCGCGCCCTGGAAGCCGGTATCCTGGACCGACGAAGAGGTACATCAGTTCCTGCTCAAGCGCGATGCCGCGCTGCGATGGGGCGTACGAGGCATGGGCGACTTTGGCTTGGGAGTGTTGCCCACAGACGACGACGCTCGGGCTACGTTCGATCCGACCCAATCAAGACCTCTGAAGAACTCGAAATTTGATGTACGAATTGTCGAGGGCGATCAGTTCGAGTCGTTGTCGAAGCTGTTCGACCGCGTCGAGTGGGCAGGCTACACCTGTGTACGCGACGCGACAACCACTAGCGCTGCCGAGTTGTACTCCAACGGTAGCACAGACTCCGAGGGCAAGCCTCTCCCTCCGTGGCAGGAGATGATCGAGCTACGCTACGGTCTGGACTCAGCGTTCCGCGGTCGCGGCATCGCAACGCGCGCCGCAGAGGTGGTCATGGCTTGGGCCGTCGAGGAGCATGGAGCACGCCGATTTATCGCCGACACACAGAAGGCCAACGGCAGAAGCAAACAAGTCCTCAGCAGACTGGGCTTCCAGATAAGCGATACGAACTATTTCCAGGATGAGGATGTTGTTGAATGGGCAAGGGCTGCTGCATAGATGACGTATCGACCGCCACCGCCATGGGGGGGGGGGGGTTCAATGGCATTCAGCGCCCTTGCGCAGATATCGCAGAGGAGAAAGCTTGCTTTACCGCAAACGTCCTAAACACAGCTAGCCCGCACGGTTGTATACCCGAATGAAACGCGGTTAACGCTCCAGGCCGCCATACGGATGGTTGCTTGCTTCGTCAGAGGCACTGCTTGAGGACCAGGACCGCCGGACTCTGTGCTCCGGGGAACTTCTCACCGTGATGCTGGCTGGGAGCAAATGGCAATGGCTTGTGGATCTTATTCGAAACCCTCGAAAGATAGCGCCCGTCTTTAATGGACTCGGCCGCCCGACAGTACCGGACCTGCCCCAGATTGTGATGTCCAATTTGACGAGGAGCGGGACAGTCGGCCACGTTGCAGCCAGTGATTGCAGAACCACTGCAGCCCGCAGAACGGCACAATAGGGCGTGAAGCAGTGCGACCTACACGTAGGATTCCATTTTACGTGTTCCATCGATGCATGCACGGTCGGGTCTTGGGCGATGACCCCGCCGGGACTAGAGTGAGGAGAGAAGGCTGCACACTCGAAGTGCAAACTCGCGGTGGGACATGGCACAGTGATCGTTTGCCGCGAAGTTGAGACGCCGACAGCATGTGAGACGTAAGAGGCCCAGGAGATGCAACCTCGGCGGGAAACACTGCTTCTCTTGGCGACAGGGCGATGCACGTCGGCATCCTACGTGGTGACCATCTGGCAGAGAGCTCGCAGCGCATTCGCAGGGCGCTCGCAAAGGCCGCAAGGCACCGGCTCACCGCGACGGGCATGTGGACATCGGGATGGAGCGCAGCCGGTGTGGATGCAGCCCACAGGCACTCGGAGAAACTGCTTCTCTGGAAGGAAGCTGCATGCCGAAGAGCCATTCCACTCGCCTGGGCCGGCGGACGCGGGGGCGGGCGGCGGGCGAACGGACATGTGGACAGATGCATTGAACGGATGGGTGGACGGTCGCAGTAGGGCGGACGCGACCAGAAGGGGAAGGGCATCCCTCGGTTCAAGACGGGCTGCGAGTTGGGTTTCGAGAACTGTGCAGCTCAGCGAGGCATTAGTTGATACGAGTACGACGCGTGAAGTTGGTCGATCGGAGGTTTGGACGAATAGGCAAGCGGTCAGGGACGCCAGGCCCCCAAGCCGCAGGCGCGACCCCTGCAAGTGGGATTCTGCCGCGGTGGCGTCATTTTCAGAAGGACAGGAAGGAGGGGCCGGCGACTTTCGTGTCTGGCTCCCCCACCCGCTGGCAATGGGACAGAGCGGGGCAGTGTGTGGCAGCCAAGCTGGCACCTGGGCGGGCAGCCTCAGCAGCACCAGGAGCCGCCCGCCAGGCGGCAGCTCCAGGGCAAACGGCACCGGCGACCGAGCTGTTTTCCATGACGGAGCGGGTGCGGGACGGTGTCAGGCAAGGTCATGGGCAGGTCTGGTACCTGTCAGTGATGCTTTGGAAAGTCTCGGACGGTGCCTGCCTAGGTACCTTACAGGTACTACCTGTTACTGGCAACGGTTAGGTACACCTGTGCCCGCTTGCTGGCCTCCCGCGGCGTGCCATCCTTGCCAACGGCCCTTCCTCACCTCCCGTCAGCTTTCGAACGAAACAGCACCGTCCCAAACTCCCGCAGCAGACGCGGAGAGACAGTCAGCTCCCTCACCCTCACCCTCAGACCCAGCGCACCACCCACCCTCCCAAGCCTCCCTCCCAGCGGCTCGGCGTCACGCCCGAGGGCCCGGCAACGGCGCTGCTGCAGGCCCCGGCGGTGGGACCCGACCTCGCGTCCAATCAGGCGCGCACGCCGCCGCGCCCGCCCACCTGTTCTTTTGCGTTTCTCCAGGCCCGGCGCTGTCCCGCCCCCCGTTGTCGCTCTCCCCAGCCGTGAACCTCATCTATTCTTTCCCCAGAGAAATTTCCATCTCCCCCTCCATTACACTCGAACACCTTTCCCCCTCGCCAACCTCCTGCCCATTCACTGTTCTGGTGTTTGGCAGAATCACTCTTGTGCTCTGCGGCTTAGTCGACCGTTGGCGCGAGTCTCCTTCTTTCCTCGAATTGTTTGCCTTTGCAGCAGCGTTGTTTCCCTTCGACACCCCGGTGACGCTGCCGCCTGGTGATGAATCACCGCGACGGTGCCCCGCCACTTCGACTCTCGTGAACCCCCTCACTCGACAATCGACACCCACGCCTCGTCAGGAACGACGGGTGCCAACTGACGCCGAGACCCCCCCCTCGCGCTTCTCTGTCCCTCATTCTTATGACAGAAAGCCGACGCAGGACCCGACTCACCTAAAACGCCGCCCCCGCAGCTTCCTGGTCAAGCGTCGAACTGGCCCAACATGCATATCAAGGACATGCTCGCCGAGGCGGAGAAGGGCGCTCAGCCGTCCTTCTCCTTCGAGTACTTCCCGCCAAAGACTGCGCAAGGCGTCCAAAACCTCTACGACCGCATTGATCGCATGTACAACTTTGGGCCCAAGTTCATCGACATCACATGGGGCGCAGGCGGTCGCATTGCCGAGCTCACCTGCGAGATGGTTCTCCAGGCACAGTCGGTCTACGGTCTCGAAACCTGCATGCACCTCACGTGCACCGACATGGGCCTCGAAAAGGTCAACGATGCCCTGAGCAGGGCCTACAAGGCCGGCTGCACCAACATCCTCGCCCTGCGCGGCGACCCACCCCGAGACCAGGACAAGTGGACTGCCACTGAAGGCGGCTTCCAGTACGCTCGCGACCTCGTCAGGCACATCCGTGCCACATATGGCAGCCACTTTGACATTGGCGTCGCTGGCTATCCCGAGGGTTGCGACGACAACAAGAACGAGGAGGAGCTGCTCGACCATCTCAAGGAAAAGGTCGACATGGGCGCCTCCTTCATCGTCACTCAGATGTTCTACGATGCGGACAACTTCATCCGATGGGTCGGCAAAGTCCGCGAACGTGGAATCAACATCCCTATTCTGCCTGGCATCATGCCCATTGCTACCTATGCCAGCTTTCTGCGGAGAGCGAACCACATGCAGTGCAGGGTTCCCCCGGAGTGGATGAGCGTTCTGGAACCAGTCAAGAACGACGACGTCGCCGTTCGAGAGATTGGAAAGACGCTGG